GAACCTGCAGCCAGGTGCTCTGAGTCCCAGACAGGGCACAAGGAAGAATGGGGAGCTGCATGGGTGGCTGCATGCATGGCTGCATGCATGGCTGCCAGTGCCTGTGATGTAAACTCACTGCCTCTAAGTCTGGTGACTAAGATTTAGTGGGTGAGTGGTGCCTTTTGGTATTTGTGAGAGGAGGGGCTGTAGGTGTTGGGGCTGCATCCTCACCTTACACTCTTGAATGTGCAGGGCATGTAACACATGCTGTAATCCCAACACCAGAGATAGATCGACTGGCAGATCCCTGTAACCATCCAGCTTAGTCTGACTGCAATCTCCAGGCCATTGAGGGACCCTATTCCAAATAAGGAGGGCTGGTGAGATTGCTCAGCAGTTGAGAGCTCTTGCTGTGCAATCTGCAGATCTAAGTCAGTCTCTTGTGATATATCGTGTACCCTAATAAACTTGCCTGGGGATCGGAGGACAGAGCCAGCCACTAGATTAGACATAGAGGCCAGACAGTGGTGGCATACACCTTTGATCCTACCACTTGGGAGGCAGAGATCCGTCTGGATCTCTATGAGTTCAAGACCACACTGTAAACAGAGCCAGGCATGGTGGCACATGCCTGTAATCCTAATACTAGGAAGCACACATGCCTTTAATCGCAGGAAATGACATGACTGGGCGGAGAAAGGTATATAAGGTGTGAGGAAACAGGAACTAAAGAAATTCAGCTGAGACCCTTTTGGGTGAGGACTCAGGATTTCTGTCAGAGGACTCATGGAGTTGGTGAGGTAATAGGTGGTGGCTGTGGTTTGCTCTGTTTCTCTGATCTTTCAGCCTTTACCCCAATATCTGGCTCTGGGTTTTTTATTATAAGACCATCTTAATATTGAAACAACATCTGGCACCCAACAGTGAACCAGTCTCAGCATTACATTATACGGTTACAGAAAAACAGCCAAAGGCTTTTAGTCAACCTTAATCTATCCAGTAACCTTACAGGAACTGCCAAATGCTCAAGGCTGTGTGCAAGCTGACTGGACTCCTGTGCAAATGTTAGATTTGAGGAGATTTAAAGAAGCCATAGTCTCATATGGTATGCATTCCCCATTTGTGAAGCAGATGTTAAACTCATTTTTCCTCAAGACTGGAAAGATTTGGTTACAGCTGTTCTAGAAGCTGGTCCACAGTTACAATGGAGGACCTGGTGGAAAGATAAGGCTAAGACCAGGGAACGACAAAGTAGGGCTGGAGGCATTGAAATATCCCAAGATCAAATTCTTAGAGAAGGCAATTATGCTAATGTAGAAAGGCAGTCTCTATATGATGACCACACCCTGGCTTAATGCCGAATGGCAGCTTTGAATGCTTGGGACAGAATTGAAGAAGTAGGAAAGAAAATTGAGTCATTTACTAAAGTTATGCAGGACACAAAAGAAACCTTCATGGATTTCTTACAAAGGCTGTCTTCAGCAGTAAATAGAATGATACCAAATTCAGAAGCTAGACAGATAATAATAGAATCTCTGGCTTTTGAAAATGCTAATGCACAATGCAAAAGTAAGATCAGCACCCTTGGAGGAATGGATTGAGATACAATGAATATTGAATCTCATGACCATGATGATGCTTGGATAGGAGAGGTGATTCCCAGAAGTTTGAAGAAAAATAGTAGTGTCAGGTGTTTTGATTGTGGTAAATAATGTCACCAAAAAAGGGATTGTAAACAGGGCGTTCCTAGAAACAGTGTTTTTTCAAGGAACAATGGCAACAGAATGCCCCTCCCTTCTGGATTATGCAGAAGGTGTGGTAAAGACAAACTTGAGACTAATGAATGTAGATCATCAACAAGGGACAGACAAGGTAATCCTTTGCCTTTGCCATTGAGAAATTCCGAGGGGCCTCATGCAGGCCCCAATGACAAATTCCATTCAGTCCTTTCCTGCCATCATGGAAGAAACCCCTTCCCAGAGCAAGTAAAGAACCTAATGCCTGTTGTAAACAAACATCCTGCTCTGGGTTTTTAAGACCATCCAAGACTCAAACCTCAGACTCTGGGACACAGAAAGCCAGACATGTCACACGCTGTTGAACTGCGGCGCTGCTGCGGCGAGGTGATGTGGGGGTGTCAGCTCGTGTAGAATATGCAGAGTGGCTCCACGTGAGCACGATGGAAGGAGAGAAGCAGCTCCTAGACGCTGCCCCCTGACATCATGTGTGTCATGATCTGTGCATGCCTACACTCATACACATACAACACACACAAAACAACACTGAAATAGAAATGGGAGGGGGTGTGCCTGAGCTGGATCCCTAATACCAATATCGGCAGATCACAGCCATCTGTAACTTCAGTTCCAAAGGACCAAACGCCCTCTTCTGGCAGCGCCAACATACATGCACGTAAAATACAAACAAACCTCCTGAGACAAAACAAAAACAGTTGGATGACTCCTGAAGAATGACACCCAAGGTTGACCTCTGCGCTCCACATACACACACAAACACACATGTGCACATCACACACACACCAAAACTACAGAAGGCGGGGGTGAGGGTGGGGGGTTACAGGCCAGCTCAGTGGAGCTCACTGGCCTAGCATGTGCATGCAAGGCCCCAACTCCCGTCCCTGGTGCCATGGAGAAGCAAGACAACCTGTGACTAGTGTGAGGGAGTTATTTTTCTGAACTGGCAAGTAACATGTGGAGGGTTAGTCAGTGTCAGTCTGTCACTTGCAATTGTTGCACTGCTGTGTCAGGACAGTGTAGGGTCTGGGGTGTGTCACCCATGAGCCTTGTTGGCTGATGCTTCATGAGTCCCAGAATCAAACAATGTCTTTGATCAAATGTTTTTTTCTCCATTTTCTTAATTATTTGCATGTGAAATAAGCCTCTTGTGTCTGCTGGGCACCTGCTAGTTGCTATCAAAATGGGTAAGTTCATGAAACCCAGGAAAGGGCGCTGGTCCTGGATGGAAGCTGCTTGGGACACAAAGTCGTTATAGTAACTAAAGGACATTGGTGGCACCTCAGCACCCCACAGCAGGGTCCAGTGGGTACCCCTCAAGGTGACAGACTGAGGGGACGAGGGGACGAGGCCGCGTCAGAGGAGCAGTGCAAACCAGGCAAGAACAGACGGCTCGGGAATCTTCAATTTTAGGTCTATTTTTGTTTCAATCAAAGTCAAAGATAAGAGAAAAAGGAGCTCCCTCGGCACTTGTGACTAAGCATGCGTGGATGACTGGCTGGACAGCGAGAGTGGCTGGGCCTGCTCTAGGCCCCTGTGCTGTGTGCGTCCAGGTCTGCTCAGCAGACTGGACCTTAGTTCCTCCCGGCCCACTGCCGAGTCTGCCTCCGCACTGTGCCTCGGCAGGTGTGTCTGCCAGGTCTGCAGGAGGCGCAAACAGATGAAACACAACAAATCCTCAGTCACACCGAGTGGAACCCGCTTGTGACCATGAAGAAGGAGCCCTGGAGACAGAGGTGTGGCAGGCACACTGACTCCTTTGGTCACTTGGCACACACCTCAAGGACCCCACACCTCCAGCTCCCACCTGTGGTGACTGGCACAGCCTGTAACCCAGACCTGGCTGTGACAGCCTCGTACCTAGACAGATCTACACTCACGGTTATAAGGCTGATCTGGTCCCTAAAGACTTTTTGTTTGTTTGTTTGATTTTCAAAACAGGGTCTCACTAAGTAGCCTTGGCTAGCCCGGACCTCGATCTGTAGACCAGGCTGGCATCAAACTCTCAGAGATCTCCACCTGCCTCCGCCTCCCGAGTGCTGGGACTACAGGTGTGCACCACCACACTGGGCCAGACCTTTCTTTCTGCCTCTGAATTGTGTAATTCAGTCCTGAGCCATTCTGAAACCTGTACATTTACAGAGTTTTAAAACAGTATGGAAATACAATGTGTACTCCGTGAGCTAATGTTAGCAAATAAGATGACAGAGCCGCCAGGAAGATGGCCTGCTGCGCAAGCCTGAGTGCACACAGGGTCAGAACAAGAGGCGCTGGGGAGGTGGCTGGGCTGTGAGAGGCTTGCTGCACAGGCGTGAGGGAATCAGGTAAGAAACTGCATGTGGCAGCAGGCGCCTGTCCTAGAGAAGCAGAGAAAGGATCCCCAGGGCGGCCGGGCCAGTCAACCCAAGTCCCCAAGGTGGGTTGGAAATGAAAGCACCTGCCACACAGTCAGGACAACCTGAGTTGTGGAAGGAGAGGTCTGACCTCGGTACACACATGCACGCACTTACGCACACAGATAGTGATACTTTTTTCAAAAAAAGTTGGAGATGGAGAATGGTTGAGGACGACATCAAATATTGATCCTCAGCACATGTACCTACATACACAAACATATGCACATGCATACACTGCACATACACCAAGATTGGAATAAAAAAATGTTTAATTGGCAATGACCATATTATCAAGTAAAATCAGATTACTTGGCATGTTGCAGCCAACAACCCAGCTTGTGCAAAGGTACAAACATGCTTGCCTTTCTGAAATAGTGTGCTTACAACATTAGATGTACATGTAAAGACTTGGCTCTCAACCGGGTGGTGGTGGCGCACACCTTTAATCCCAGCACTCAGGAGGCAGAGCCAGGCGGATCTCTGTGAGTTCGAGGCCAGCCTGGTCTACAGAGTGAGTTTCAGGACAGGCTCCAAAGCTACACAGAGAAACCTTGCCTCGAAAAAAACAAAACAAAAAAGACTTTGCTCTCAGAGGAGACAGGCAGGAGGATTAAGACCAGCCTGGGACCAGAGTGAGACCCTGCCTGAGAACAATGACCTTGGGCGGAGGCTACAGCTCAGCGGCCAGCCTGTGCTTTCCCCGCACAAGGCCCTAGCTCTGAACCCAGCACTATAAAATAGGGTGGAAAGAAAGGGACAGAGCCTTAGCTTTGGGCCTGCTCCCTGTTCAAACCATCCCAGCCCTAACACACCACCTCACGCGTCCACTGCTGTTAAACAAACCAGAGCCTGTCTGATTTGTTTGCAGGTCACACTGATTTTCTCTTGCCCCAGTGTGTGGACACTACCACACGCCCTCCACACCAGCGACGGCTCTTGCGTGTATTTTCCAGTGTTTCTTCTGTCAGAGAGTCCGACAGAGCCATAGTTCCTCCAGTGCTGGCCCGGAGCTGAGGGACGAGCGCCCAGCAGACATGGTGAAAATGACCAAGTCCAAGACTTTCCAAGCTTACCTGCCACACTGTCACAGGACGTACAGCTGTATCCACTGCAGAGCCCATCTGGCCAACCACGATGAGCTCATCTCCAAGGCAAGTGACCCCAATTCAAAACCATGAAACAAGGCTGGCCCACGCCTTTAATCCCAGCACTGGGGAGGCAGGGGCAGGAGGATCTCTGTGAGTTCGAGGCCAGCCTGGGCTACAGAGTGAGCCCTCAAAAAGAAAGAAAAGCCATGAGGTAATGACAGGTAGAACTGGTTGGGGACAGCAGGGCTTTGGTGACTTGTGACAACTGCTGTTTGCCAAGATCTGTCACTTGAGCCAGTAGTGAGAGTCAGGTGCCATGGACGGCCATTTTTCTGCAGCATGCCAGGCATGTCCATCATGGGAAGGGTCACAAAAGTAATTTGAGAAATGGTTTTGATGTTAGCTGTTTTAAAATTGCATGAAGAACAGAAGTGTGCTAGAAAATGAGTGATTTGAAAGTTATCCATCATATCAGATAAGCATTTCAAGTTGGAAGATGCCACAAATACAATTCTTAAAGGTACAGAGGTATGACAAAATTCCAAGAGGTATAACACCTTCATCTGAGCTGGTGATGGTGAGGGTGACTTTTAACTTTGTGTCCCATAACAAGATACCTGAGGAAATCAGCTCAATAAAGAAAAAACTCGTCTGTGGTTTCAGAGATTTCCGTGCATGGCCAGGTGTCCTCCCGCCATGGTAGGAGCATGTGCAGAGGAGGTAGAGAGAAAAGGGGAAGAGACCAGGGTCCCGGGGGCTTCCAGGCTTGCCTAGAGAGACCTGACGTCCTCCCACTGGTCTCTACCTCCTGATGGTTCCCTCACTGTCAGTAACAGCACGTTCAGGATCCAAACAAAGGTGGCAGCCATGGCAGACTCCTGAGTGGTCTTTCTGCTTAGGCCTTGGTGAGACTGAGGAGCACACGCCATGTTCCAGCATGTTGGAAACTAGAGCCAGCCCCATGAGAGTTCTCCAGGCTCTGGGTCTGTACTTGTCACTTAGCGAAGAACCCTCTGGTCCACAGAAGCGCCTCCCTTTAAGCGATAGTAGTCTCACTATGCAGTCCAGACCGGCCTCGAAATCAGAGAGCCACCCCTGTCTCCCGAGTGCTGGACCTGCAGGTGTGGGTCAGCCCGGCTCGTCCTGCGCTGTCAGCCCCAGGTGGTGCTCATGTTTCCTGTCAGGTCAGATGACCTGTGAGACAGAGTGACTGTCCCCTGAGTCATCTCACTGCCCTTCACAGACTTCTCCATCACTGAGGAAAGCCCTGTGGAAAAGCCATGGAGGGCTTGTAGAATCTGCAAGCAAAGAAGAATGTAAGGCTGAGGGGTGTAAAACACTAGAGATGAGTGTTAATCAAACTGAAAAATGAACGTAGACTAATATTCTTAGTCCTAGAAAACCACTCCAGGGGTATTCCTTTTAAGCCTGAAATCTGTATTTTATTTATTTCTGTTTTTTTTTTTTTTTTTTTTTTTTCCTTCTCTGTATAGCCCTGGCTGTCCTGGAACTCACTCTGTCAACCAGGCTGGCCTCGAACTCAGATCTACCTTCTGCTCTCCCAAGTGGGATTAAAGACATTCACCGGTGACTCTGCCTGGCTGAAATCTGTATTTTCAAATCAAAACCTATCTGGGTGGTCTGGGATAGCCCAGTAGCAGAGTGCTCGTGTGGTGCCCAGCATCATGAGCTACCTGATCTTTTGAGACAGGGTCTTCCCCTGAGCTTGGAGCTCTCGGATCCAGCAAACCTCAGGGACCCCCTGTCTCCTTCTCCCCAGCACTGAGATCACAGGAGCAGCAGCCATGCTCAACATTCTTTTTTTTTTTTTTTGGAGCGGGGAGTCAAAACAGGGTTTCTTTGTGTAGCCCTGGCTGTCCTAGAACTAGCTCTGTAGACATCCTGAGTGCTGGGACTAAAGGTGTGCACCACCACTGCCAGGCTTATTTTTAAAGGTGTTACAAGGATGAGTGTTTTGCCTGGAGTCCGCTGAGTCAGAAACGGCATTGAATCTCTTGAGACTGGAGTTACAGGTGGCTGTGGGCCTCCATAGGTGCTGGGATTCTAACCCAGGTCCTCTGCAAGAGCAGTGAGCGCTCGTAACTGCTGAAGCATCTCTCCAGCCCCGTGCGTGGCTTTTAACATCTTCCAAGATTTAAATGTGTGTCTGTGGGATATTGTGCACCTGGGGGTGGGTGTCCTCGGAGGTCAGAGGTGCTGGGGCTCCTGGAGCCAGAGTTGCAGGGTTGTGAGCAGCCCAAAGTGGGGGCCAGGAACCCAGCTGGGGTCTCTGTAAGAGCAGTGTGTGCCTCCCCATTGGAGGTGGACTTCACTGGGCTGGGCTTCACTATACTATGGCTCAGCCTCCCACATAGCTGAACTACAGGCACAGGCCACCACACCAGCCACAGGGTGTGACTTTGTTTTCAGTTTTTCTGAGACAGGGTCTAGCCATGTAGCCCTGAGTGGCTTTGAACTCACAATGTGGCCCAGGTTGGCCATCCTGCCTCTGCTCCCGAAGGCTGGAATTATAGACAGGTGTGCTCAGCTCAGACTATGACCTTTTTGTTTGTTTGTTTAATGTCACTGAAAAGGCACAGAAACTTGCCCTCATCTCCTAACACCTGAGATAGTGAGGCACAGAACTACGTTAGGAGAGGTGATAAGGGGCTGGAGAGAGGGCTCCGCGGTCTAAGTGCTTACTCTGCAGGGGGCCTGAACTGGGTTCTCAGCACCAACATGACGCCTCACAACTTCTTCCAACTTCTGCCTTCCAAGGGCTCATTCATGCACATGGTTGCGCATGCTTACACTCGGTACACAGACACAGAGGTGAGAGAAGAGCATGCATATCGGGGGCTGCCCTGGAGCCCCAGTGCAGTCACCGACGCCTGCAGCGCCCATCTAAAGCCCATTCTTGTCATGTCAGCCAGGCCAATCTTGAGACCCAAGTTGAAGCATCCCTCCCAAGTCCCTGACTGGGGCTGAGGTGGTCCGGGTCCAGCTGTGGTGTGCTGTGGATATAGTGCAGACAGAGCACAAGGATGCTCTGACCTCTTTCTGAAGTCTGGGGCGGATCTGTCCTCTGAAACTGGGAAGCAGGGCTTCGGAACTGCACCTGTGGGGGTCTGCACCTGTGGGGGTCTGCACCTGTGGGGGTCTGCACCTGCTCCTCCAACACCCCTGAAAGCAGAGCCCCCATGTCTTGCCTGAGTCCTGGCTAACTAACACCTTCTTCTTCTTTACAGTCCTTTCAGGGGAGTCAGGGACGAGCCTACCTCTTCAACTCGGTGTGAGTACGTTCTGTCCTTGGTGCCTGACTGTCTTGGGGTCCCTGGTGCCTGACTGTCTCGGGGTCCCTGGTGCCTGACTCTGTCTCGGCCTGCTCAGTTGTTAAGAGCTGAGTGGGTAGCTGGGTAACTGAGCTGCACCGGTCAGGGCCTTGATCAGCTGGGAAGACTTGGGCCTCCTGCATCTGTTTGGGAAAGCACAGATGTTGTGTCTGAGAGTTTAGCCTCCAAGCCTGACCTTTGGGACTCCCTTGGTGGGCCGGCTGGGGCTCAGCAGTAGAGGGCTTGCACAGCATGTATGAGGCCCTAGGTTTGATCCTGAACCCCATAAAGGAACAAAAATTAATTCCCTCTTGTTAAAGTGGGAGTAGGAGAGTTGAGACACCTGTGGTGATGCGGAAACTCTGTTTCTGGTGCACTGAGTGATGTGGGGGAGGGGACGGGCAAGGGGACCTCCAGCACAGTCCCCCTGTGTCTTGACAGGGTGAATGTGGGCTGCGGCCCCGCTGAGGAGAGAGTCCTTCTAACCGGGCTGCATGCAGTGGCCGACATCTACTGTGAGAACTGCAAGACGACACTCGGGTGGAAATACGTAAGTACCTGGGCCTGGAGAGCGCTGGTGCCATTCAAACCCCGCAGCGTCTCGTGGGGGCAGCTCAGTGGCAGTGCTTCAAAGGTCTGCACAAGGCCTCTGTCCCCAGAACGTGATAAACTGGTCACGGAGCAACGGCTCAGTGGGTAGAAGCGCCTGCTGCCGCGCCTGACAGACAGCCTGGGTCTGACCCCGGGTCCCCATGATGGGAAGAGAGAACCAGCTCTTGCCACCTGAGTGCCACAGCGCACACATGCACACACACACATGCACACACACACATGCACACACACACACATGCACACACGCGCGCGCGCGCACACACACACACACACACACACACACACGCACACATGCACACACACACATGCACACGCACACGCGCGCACACACACGTACACACACATGCACACACATGCATGCACAC